TTAATTAATTGATTGGATGACAATAGTTTTCTACTTACCTCAAAGACAGTGTATTTATGATCTTCTTCACTGATAGGGATCTGATGATAAGCAGATTTAAGACAAAGCATGGTGAAGATATTGTACTAGGCTCAAAATCCTCAATCATTTTTTTAAATATTGGGCGTAGGGTAAGCATCAAGTTCTGTGAATCTATTTATGGTGTTGGTGTAATCAGTTACCATTCTTTTTTGTGGTTTTCATTTGGGTACCTTCTTTCAACATTCTAGTAGATTCTTCCTTTATGAATTTACTATCAGTGATAGTGACTTAGTGACAATTGGAGTTGTATTAATGAAGAGATGGGAAAAGAGTGGGGGGGTGGAACTTCTATGGATGAGAAGTGGTTATTATTCGTAACTGCTCTGATAACAAGTTTATCTCTAGGTCCATCAAATCTCGAGGTCATTTTGTTATATTTTTACAGTATGTCATTTCCTAAGATGGTATCAACAAATAGATTTTTAATCACCTCCACTATCACACCAGAATATGTCCTGTTGTTCAGGGTGATATCAACTATCACTTTGCCAACAATTTTTGCATGTTGGTTACAGTCCGCCAGGGCTATTGTCTTTTGTTTTGGTATGACAAAAAGGTTTAACATTTTTGCCATACTTTTGTTGATAAAAGTTCCCAGAATTTACCATGGCATTGACAACGTTTCTATTTATATTGCACTTGGTTAAGGTAACATCCTTTGTTTTCATTCTTACTCATACAAGACTGGGAGAGACAGTATCTTATACTGAGGCTGATACTGAAGACTTGCATACTTGCCCAATGCCCTTTTTTTTTAAGCATTTTTTGCAATTGGCATTATGGGCTGGACATAGGTGTCATGGATGACATGGGTTCCCACAGAAGAAGCAAATCTCCTTAGGCTTAATATCTTTTTGTATACTGGCTACACTGGTGTTTTCTTCTGAAGAAATTATGGGGGTGGTAATTGTATTTCTTTGTTCATAGAATGCAGATTATTTTTTTGTTTGTTCAGAGTGATCTGGCCATTTCATATGCTTCTTTAAGAGTCAGTGAGGATTTTTGAGTAGTCACTGTTGGATTGATGTGGAGGTGATGCCATTGATGAATAATGCATCTTGCATATACTGTTTTTTTGTTTTCTTTGGCAGTTACTGCTTGAAAGTCACACGTTTTTAGCCAGAATCTCCAATTCTTGCCTGAAAATGTCTATTGTGTGGTCTGGTTGTTGCTTCAGGGTAATTAGATGGTGTCTGTTGCACATGACATTCATGGGCTTGATGTAAGCAACTTTGAGTGTTTTCATGGCAAAATTGTAATCATTTGAGTTGCTAATTATTTTGAAAACTTCTGCTGATATATTGTTTATGAGAGTAAAATAATGGGGGGGGGTCATTTTCAGCCTTGCCAGTGCTGTTAACAGTACGTAGAAAGTTAGTGAATGTGAGTTTCCAGTGCTTAAATTGGGAGTTGTAGGCTTGATAGCAAATCTTTCAGGGTGCAGTAATCTGTCCATTATGATTATTTTCTATAATCTATACTCTACAGTATCTCTACTTGGGGAAAATGCCTTCAATCCTATTTTTACTATCTACCATTCTTTCTGCAATCCTATTGTAGGTGACATGGTGGTGTTTTGTAAGGGAAGCATCCAATCCTCATCAACGAATTATATAAATTTACGTAAAAAATTCTGGTGCATTGTCTGATACCAATGTTTTAGGGACCCCATTTCTAGAAAATATCACTCTTATCATTTGCTTTGTTGGAGTTGTTTTTCTATCTTTAACTTTAATGACTTCAGGCCATCCAGAAAAGGTGTTTACTAAAATTAGAAGTAGTCCTATGCCATTTAATGTGTGCATAGTCCATATGAACACAAGACCATGATTCCATTTCTTTATATGTGTAACAATTTTTTCCACAAACTGTCTTTCTTAAAAATACACTTCTCTCAAAAGAACGTGTACAAAAACAAAACAAAAACAACCTAGATGATAAGACACTTACACCAAAGACTAATAAAAAATAAAATTTTTATAAAGTAGCTAATTCAAGTTTTTAGCACATGGTGAAATTTAATTTTTTCCCCTCCTCTATTAGCAGTTTTGCTAGAGTTATGTTTATCGAATAGGTATTTTAAATTATATAAAGACCAAATTCAATCCTTGTGCAAAATATAAAAAAATTAAATTTGGAACTGAAAAGGTAATATTGTAGAATTAAATTTCTACATTCTCTGTTTTAAACCTGTTAAAAGAGGATCACAGCTAAGTATTCTCAGTTTGTGTTGAATCCATTAAAATCAGTTCCAGAGTTCAGTACGAAACAATGCTTTCTGATTGGTCCATAAATAATAATGACATGTTTCTGCCTATGTCTTACAGTTGACCTCAAGTTGACCTGTTCTGAGTTCAACGCGCCAAAAATTTATAAACATTCTTTCAAGCTTCCCATGTGATCAAGAAAATTCATAAATATGAAACTTCAATTGACTTAGTCCTTAAAATAATCAACTCGTCACATGATTTCATGAAACCCAACTTCCTCGCTAAAAGTTAATTTTTATTAACATCAACTCATCTAGTGACCAATGCAACTAAGATGAGATTCAGAAACCAACTCACTCAATATCTTAACAACATAAAGGAAATCGTAACTATATCAGTAACTACAGTAAGTCAAGCAATCTATTTCATTCAATTTCACCATCAACAGAAACTGTTTAATTCCTTACCAGATCTATAGCATAACACCTTTTACCATTGATCACACAACCAAGAACTCTAAAGTGATGTAAACAACTTTATTATATTGTGTGTACTTGTTTCTATATAAAATATTTTAAAACACATATCTACCTATTTGATTATTTCTCTTGTTGTATTTGCTGAATTTGATTTAGTAAAAATAGTAAGTAGAGGGTTAGTTTAATTTGTATTTGTCACCGATACAGATTGGCTAACCCACTACAATAGAAAAAGAGAATACGTGCCTCTCTTCTTATCCCTAAAAAAGTAGTAAAGTTCAACTTTACTACTTTTTTAGCGCAAAAAAAAAAAAAAAAACTAAAAGACAAAACAATCAACTCATCCACTACGTGATGAAACGTGAAAGAACAGACATTTTCATTTAACACTTAGTACACACACACCAAAAAAAATTCTTTATTTGTGCACCTTATAGATAATTAAGGGTGGGTAACAATCAAATACACAATACAAAAAAGATTACACTTTTTGAAAATGATAAAGAAGGGAAAACAACAATTTGGACAAGGTAGAAAAATAAAATAAAACAGCGCATCCACTTAAACGGAACAGAATTGTATATCTCAGTACAAAGGAGGTTTTGTGGTTTCAAAAGGTTTTTGTCAAGGGGACTTGATGCAGCAGAAATAATTTTTTTTTTCTCCTGGGACATGAATCTGTCTTCTGGTTGAGGTTTTTAGCTGTCGGCTCATCCTATCTTCCCCGTGGTGATTTATGACCCCTTCGTCTGGACAATTCTCCTGGCCTGGAAGTGTGGGTGTTTTTTTTTAAATTATTTTAAGGCTTTCCGCTTTCTCCTTGAAGACTAAATGCTTTTTTCTGCAACTACCAGCGTGCAAGTTTCCTATAAAAGGAGGCTCCAAAGTCCTTAATTTTGGAATTCACAAGGTGATGAGACCTAGTTTTTTAAGTCAATAAATAAATTCAAAAAGTAACTCCACAACAATTCACAAAAAAATTGTCGGTTTTTTAACCGCTAAATCGAATAAAAGATTTACATTACATTCATTACTATTGCACAACACACGCACACAAAAAAAAACAAAAAAAAAACTGTAACATTTTTAATTTTTTATAAACCGTTTGACTTTTACACTTCTCAACGTATAAAAACAACCTAGATGATAAAAAAAAAAACATTTACACCTTTAAAGACTTTTTAGTCTTTATTTTACGTTTACTGTACTTTGTATAACATTTTTTTTTTAAAGAAAACTTCAAAGGAGAATCCTTTGCCCTCTACCAAAATTTCGCAGGTGATCAAATGTTTTATTTAGTTTCCAACTAAAAAGGTTTTGAAAACTGTAACACTAAGTGACTTAACTAACTGTTGGTATTATTCAATCAGTTGTGTGCCATGCATGATACACGCTTAGGCGATCGTGTATCTTTCGATACATGACTGACGACGCAGATTTTTTCTCGCAATAGGTTGCCATTTCTTTCTGCGGTAGATCAGTTACCATCCAAGGCGAGATTTATTTTGTAAAAAATACAAAATTGTGGCACAAGGCCGAAAAGGGGGAGGGGGGTAAAGGCTGGTCTTCACTAACTATCTTATACCTAGCTAATTTGATTCACGACCCATTCAGACATTACAGTTTACTCATTCACCATAAGAACTCGTCCGTCACCAATCAATCCTCCTTGCACCATAATACCACATCCACTCTAGGGAGACTTACAAAACGCGCCCCATGTCATAATGATCCTAACTAACACATATGTACAAAAATTCTAAGATGAAAAAATGAGATGGGGGTGGGATGTGAACCCAATAACAAACTAAAATATTAACATAAATGAAAACTTATAGAACCCGTTCTGTCCTGCTATACTGGAGGCGCGGGGGGGGAGATTCATACCTTTCCCAAGTTAAGTGAATGTAATGGATTCAACAGGAATTCGAACTCGGCTCTCCTCAATCCGAGCCGTTATCCATTACTCCACCGTGCCTCCTGTAACATTAATTAGGTAATAAATTATTTAAATTTGCAGATATCTTTTTTACTGGAATATAAACACCAGTCATAATACAGCAGTTTCCACTGACACCGTTTCAACCATGCGTTGTGATAGGTAACATTTTTTTATTAACACCGTCCATTTGCAGATTTCATGAGTTAATCTATCTTACTTCAAAGACGTTCTGGCTAAATATAAACATTTAAAATGTTAAAGTTTGCTATTAGAACTCGTCCAAGAAAAATGAGTTCTACGTTAGGCCATGGAAGCGGTCCTTCTGGGCGCATAGAACGACTTCGTCGAGTGGTGACTGCTTTAATGAGATATGAACGACTGGAATCCCATTACTATTGTTTAGATGAAGCCAGGGGCTATGCAGAGAGGGTAAGGAATCCGTTTTTATAAGATATTTTTTCACGGAGTAGATTGCTTCAAGGAGTAATTAGGCATTTAAGAATTACCCCCACAGGGCCTTTTCAGACTATTGTGGAGTTTATCGCTCGAAACAATATGCAATAATATCAACATAAAACATCTTTAAAAAGATTTTATCCTGCTATCCTTTAAAAAATAATTCAAAGGAATAAAACATTTTTTGTAAAGAGTTTTGAATAGTTGATGCTTGGGTAAATTTGCTTTTTATGCCCCGCAAAGAAAATCTAACTTTCCCAAATCGTCATATTTCCGTGTAAATGTATATGCTGAACTAAAAAATAACGCCCAAATTTTTATAAAACCTACCGTTTTGAAGTTATCGACAATAAAAATCCGGACTCAGTCGCGTTCCTTCGTCCGCCATTATGTGCCTTATTTAACTACATTCACTGCGGAACACTTTGCGCGCGGAAGATTAATTATCGGCCTTTTTACTGCTTGTACTGCTCTTACCCGTATAAATTATTGCGCACTGTCGGAAAGCAGTGTCAAGTGGACATGTGTTTTTTAAACCCTTTTCTTCTATGTCGAAAAGCGAACAAATCAAAAGAAAAAAAAACAAACCCTTTTTTGTGTGTCGAAAAGCAATGACAAAATGAAAAATAGCAAAATAAAGCCTTTTTTAAAATTAAAAATAAACAGTAATTAATACGCAAACTTTGTAAAGAGCATATTGTTTTTTTTACAAAATAAAATTACAAAGTAAAAAAAAAAAAAAAGCGATAAATTTGCTTTTCAATCCCCAAGCTAAATATCTATTAATATTTTTCGAAATCATCATATTTCCATATAAAAAATGTACATGCTGAACTCGAATTAACAATTATGATTAAAAAAAACCCTACTGTTTTGGAGTTATCGACCAGAAAAAATCGGATTTAATCGTGGTCATTCGCCCACCATTATTGGCTTTGAATTAGATTCACTCACTGCGGATCAGTTATATTCATTTCCGTAGCTAACTAAATCATAACTTTTGGCCTTTTTTCTGCTCTTACTCGTCGAAATTACTGTGCACTATCATAAATCAATGACAAGGTATATATAGTTAGGGTTTTATTTTTCTTCTTATATATATACATTAACACAGGCTCTAATTTGGGACCAGAGAAAATTTCTCTTATATCCGGGTTACACTGTACTAGCAGTAGAGCCCGGCGTTGCCCGGGGATGTAACAGTAAGAGATAGATCAAGTATCGACCAAAAAAACTGAAAAATAAATTTGACAAAGATTATTGTCTGAATTAGTTTTTTTTTTTTTTTTTACGAATTGGTCAAACTCAAACAAAAACATTGTTTTCAATCGTTATGAGTCTACCAATTGAATAGAATTTTATTATAAACAATTGTCTTGTAAATGGAATTTTTAAAACATTCTGAATGTAAAAATAAAGAAAAAAGTGTACAAGACAATAAGAAACACTACCTGCCAAAAAAAAGAGAAGTTTTGTTGAAATCAGTTGAAAAATGTAGGAAATCCGATCCCATATATAAACGAACACACACAAACAACCTGGGTTTTATAATAAGTATAACTCGATATGAATTGACCCCCTTTCATTCTGGCGACAGTGATACCTCTTAATCGTGTTTTCAAACTGATTTTGTGCAAAAACAATTGTGTTTTTCCAATTTTTGACGCTGTCAGAACCACTGCAAAGTAATTTTACGTACTCCTGTGAAGTTTTGTTGAAATCAGTTGAAAAATATAGGAAATCCGATCCAATATATAGACGAACAGACACACACACATACAACCTGGGTTTTATAATAAGTATGATATATATATATATATATATATATATATTTGTTTGGATTGATGTGAGTTTGTGACCCTGGGTTTCACGCTTTTGCGATCGTCAGACAAACTGATTAATTTTTTAAAATTTTGGCTTTATGTACATTGCGTGTATTGGTGTTATTATGGAAGTGGGGGGGAATCGTCGTCGTGATGTCATCATGCTAACGCAAGCAGATGCATGTCTATACACCTGATGAGGTACACAGACACACATACACACTTGCTCGTCTGCCAGGACTCATACAGATATAAACATATGGGGACAGTTTGAGATTTGACATATGTATATGGGTGGTGTTGTGTCTATACATATGCATTTGTATGTTGAAATTCAAAGATTGGAAGTGTAGTGAAAATTTCTCGTGAATGTCTTGTGAATGTATACATGTCAGCAATCAGAGCATTTTTCTATTTTTTCACTGAATAATATTTCCTCGCATGCACGTATATACATGTTGTGGAGTCTGTGTAAAATTATGATACGTAAAAATTACTATTATTTTTAATTTTTTTAAAAAAGTTTATTTGTTATTATTTTAAAGTTGGTTATATGCTTGTTTTGATGACTGTGTATATGTAACTGGTAGAAATTTCAGTATGTAATCCTTATTGGTTATTTTTATGGGGTTATTAAATATGCTGGAGGAGGGGGTAATTTACGTTAATAATTATAGCGGGTCTATATGATAATAGTAGATGTGATGTGATAGTAATGTGTAAAAGCGTGAAACCCAAATATGTTAGCTCTATCTCTGATATTGAGCGCTTTCGAATAAGTACCACGCATATAATATATAAATAATTATATATATATATATATAAGCAAGTGTAAATGGATATAAATCCGACAGAATGAAAAATTTTGAAAAAACAAACAAAAATCCTAAATGTAGTTAAATGAAAAAAAATTTCGACGTCTGACGTTTCGGTTTATTAAACCTTTTTTCATTCAAAAAAAAAAATCAAAAAAAAGTTATTCAGTTCAATCTGAATAAGACTTGTGTTTTTTATGTCCATCACATTTCTTATTGAACTGAATTGTAAAATTTGATGAATATTGTCTTTCAAAAAATAAACCTGAAATGTCAGACGCTTTCATTTCTTTCATTTAACTTTACATTTAAGATTTTTTTGTTTTTTATATATTATATATATATATATATATATATATATATATATATGGTTAGGGTTTTTTTTTGTTCTTTAGGGTTAGAACAAAAAGAAAACCCTAACCCTAAATTTGTTCTTGTTAGAATTTCCTTTCTAACATTTTCTTACATTGTAATTTTATTTTGTAAATTACCTTGCTCTTTACAAAGTTTGCACATTAATTATTGTTTGTTTGTTTTATTTTCAGTTTTAAAAAATAAAAAATGCTTTACTGTATTATTTAATTTGTTCTTTTCTTTTTTAATTTGTCATTGCTATTCTATACAAAAAAAGGTTTCATTGTATTATTTAATTTGTTTTTGTTTAAAGTTTCTGTTATAAAATAACTACACTTATCAAAAAAAAAATATTGCCCAGTTGTCATTGCTTTACGATAGGGCACAGTAATTTTGATGAGTGAAAGCAGTAAGTAGGCCAAAAAGTTATGATTGCACTATGAAAGAGATCTGCAGTGAATGTAATTACACAAAGCCAGTAATGGTGGGCGAATGAACATGATTAAATCCGATTTTTTTTTCTGGTCAATAACTCCAAATGGTAGGTTTTATTATAATTTTAATTCTTAATCTGAGTTCAGCATATACATTTATATGGAAATTTATGGATATTTAGCTTGGGGATTGAAAAGAAATTTACCAAAAAAAGCTAGAAAGGAAATACTAACAAGAACAAATTTCAATTTCAAATATGTTTTGTCTTTTATTAAATTTGGAGTTTTAAATTACTGCGCACTTGAGATGTGTCGAAAAGCAATGACAAGTGCTGTTTGTTTTTTTGTTTTTTTAGTAAAGCTTTCTTTTTAAATTAAAAAAAAATTAAATAATAAAATAAAGCTTTCCTTTACATTAAAAATAAAGCAAATAATAATTAACGCGCAAACTTTGCATGAACTTTGAAGAGAGCAAGATAACTCACCCTAAAGGTTAGGGTTGAGATTCGGAGCTAGGGTTGGTAACCCAAACCTACCCCTAACCCTAACAGTTGGGGTTAGTTATCATGCTCTCTTCAAAGTTTGTGCAAAGTTTGCACATTAATTATTATTTGTTTTATTTTAAAAGAAAAGCTTTATTTTATTATTTAATTTTTTTTTTTTTATTTAAAAAAAGCTTTACTAAAAAAAACAGTTGAAAAAATAACAACACTTGTCATTGTAATACTGTTTATTTTTAATTTAAAAAAAAATGCTTTATTGTATAATTTATTTTGTTCTTTTGGTTCTTTTTCATTTTGTCATTGCTTTTCAACACAGAAAAAAGGGTTTATTGTATTATTTAATTTTTAAAAAATGTTTAAAAAAACACATGTCCACTAGGCACTGCTTTCCGACAGTGCACAGTAATTTACACTGGTAAGAGCAGTAAAAGCAGTAAAAAGGCCTATAATTAATCTTCTGCATGCAAAGTATTCCACAGTTGAATGTAGTTAAACAAGGCACATAATGGCAGATGAATGAACGTGACTGAGTCTGAATTTTTATTGTCGATAACTTCAAAACGGTAGGTTTTATCAAAATTTGAGCATTATTTTCGAGTTCAGCATATACATTTACATAGAAATATGACAATTTGGGAAAGTTATAATAGGTTTTCTTTGCGGGGCTTAAAAAGCAAATTTACCATTATACAGCTTTATTATAACCTGTAAACGATTTGGTCTGCACATTTAACCTATAACTCCTTCATTAATGTATGCTTATGTGGTTAAATTATTGTTTTTATTCTATTTTCTTTAAGTTTTTCATTGTAAGAATCACTATAGGGATTATTGTTGGTAGATTATGACTCAATGAAAATCAGATAGCAAAAATTTAATTTCCTGTTGTAGTTTATTCTTGTTGAACCAGAATGAAGAACTGCATGTACTCACCAATTCCTGCCATAGAAGTGAATTAGAGAAAATTATATCTTATCTGTAAGGTTTGACTCTTTTTACCAATTCCTGATCACACTTAAGATGTCTCTTTTCTCTTCTTTCTCTCCTTGCTCCTCCCTAGCATTCCAAAACCAATGTAACAAAAAAAAGCCAGGAAAACCACAACTGAATCCTTAATTATATGAATATTTATTTCCCACACTGTTCTAGTCTATAAAAATTCTTATTTACACAGGTTTCTCTGAAGGTATTAAGATAAGTGACATTTCTTGCTTTAATTAACCCCCACACACACACACACACTCACAAATCTTTAAGATAATTTTTTTTTTTTTACATGACTTCATCATGTACCTAGTATGGTGCATGGTTCTCCGTCTGTGACCTTTTCATTGGCAACATTGCGTTTTCATCCCTGAATTTTTCAATGCCAATGTCTGTGTCAGATGAATTAGCCACATACCTTATGTCCAGTTTCACACCATCATTTTATTTGGTGAGTGCACCTTAGTAACCTACCCCCTCTCTCTCATTGTGTTGTACACCATGTATTTGGAGGTTTTGCACAAATTTCTCAGGTTTGGATTGTCATGGGTATCTCTTTGTCTTTATTTAGCAGTGCATCTCTTGGATGCTTCCATTCATAAGTGAAAATTGACTTGTGTTACTCTTTTATCTGTTCTATTTTGGGTGTGGTACCAGAAGGTTGTTTCTGTGAGTGATATCCCTCCTCTCTCAACCATGGCTTTCACAGTCCGATGAGTTCTCTCCATTATCTTGTTTCCATCTGGTCTGTATGCAACTCTGTAATATCTTCAAATATTCCATTTTTCTAGCATGACCTGGAGGAGTTCTTGGCAAAATGCAAGTTCTTGCTTGAGAAATACATTCTTGAGTTCATCTGCAACTGTAGCTACTGACATTGCACATAATTCCCTCCATATTGTCAGCCATCCAGGTTTGCAGTGAACTACTAATAGGTAAATTTCTCTGTGATAGTGTGTCAAATATTGATTTGAACCTTTTCTAGTTATCTCTAGCTCTGATCTTACCTGCATCATGCATGCTCATAGTAGAGTCAATTGACTAACATCTAACCAAATTTTTGGTCACTCTTTAGACTTCCTCCCTTTTAACAAATTAATACCATTCAACATCACTTCTAATTCATCTACATTGATATGGTTATAATCAACTTTCTTTTTAATCATGCTGCATTTTCAACCACCACACCATCTGTATCAATGACTACACCTGTAGCAATGCTGCTTGCATCACACCCCATTACACCTGTCTTTGATTAGGTACATGTCATTTTTCACTCATTGGGTCCTCTTCCTTTACCTTTGTTAGAATCTCCTGTATCATAGCAATTGCCCCATCATCTACTTTACACTCCAGCTGATCCTATTTGCCCTTCTCTTCATATAATCGCATGCTGTTTGTAGCTATCCAACAATGAGATAGTGTTTTACTAATTTGTCACAGATTGAGAGTAATTCCTGTCTACCTCTGGCACCTTGTTACCCCTTTTTAACACCAGTATTTCTGTTTTACCTTTTCTTAGTCGGGGTCCCAAAATTGATTCCCACTCTAAGCACATGGGAGGCTTTATTACTAACCCAATTTTTTTAAGATGATCCACTATTTCCTCTGCTGATACTTTAGTCAAATCTATGTTATCAATATATGAGACTTATTCTTTATTCTTATTCCCTAGCACTAGGACTACCAGCATAATCTTTGGTGCAACATTAAGACCAAGCCCAACATAATTAAACAGTACATTTTACCCTTATATTTCATCTACTGTAATCAAGAGTCACTTGGCTACAGCCAGACATGACCTGTACTAATGCTGGTCACCAAATATAACACACCTAAGTTTTGAAGTCCTACCAGAGATGGGGGTGGGGATACATTTTGGCAAAGGTAGCTTGCATTTGTTGCGATCAGTTTCACTGTTTGTTTCCTTCTCTGGAATTTGTGCTGTCTAGTGAATTTCGTTCATTGTGTACCTGCCAGAAATGACAGGACATGGTTTTTGTTGATCTGGGCGATATTTTGATCATATTGTTTCTTCAACATCTGGCAATTTTGCTGAAAAAGGTCTGAATGTGCCAACAGAAAAAAAACAACGCTGTTGAAATATCAGCAATTTATTTAAAGATGATATTTAAAAATTGTAGAATAGCTATGGAGCTGTTTTGTCTTTTCTTTTCTACCTCTGAGGCACTGAAAGATGTCTGAGTTTAAGAAATGTGGAAGTGTTAATGTGTTAGCAGGGAATGATTTTTATGTTGAATTTTCTCCAAAATCACTGGAGCTGCTGCTTTTCTCTGTGAGTGTTCCGCTTTGAGGTATGCACTCTGCTGATCTATGAGGAACTCTGAAACTTATGTGTGCATACTTTGTTTAGATAGGCTTCATCCTGAGATGGATATGATTAATTAGCTTCTCAATCAAAGAACCTCCTTGTTAAATAACCCAAATGTACTTTTCAATTTTTGTCTGGGTTTCTAAGTTCCCAAAATCATGCTGAATCTTACTAAATCTTACTTAGTTTAATTTGAGTTCAAACTCTTCCATAGCCCTCTCTATGGGTTTAAATTAATATTTTTAAACTGGACTTTTTTTCCATCAGATTCCAGTCTGATTAACCACTTCCATATTTTTCTCTTATTATCACTACTCCTTCATTCAGAATTATTAAATCTCAAAACATCATGTCACTAACCACTTTCCATGCTTAATTATGGCCATTGCTCTGTTACACTCCTGAATTAATCTGTGATGTCTAATTGTAAATAGATCAAATTCGTGTCCACAATTTTGATTCCTCTAGCATTTGCCGCCATGTTTTCACTTTCTCTTCACATATATCGCATGTTATATAATTATTCAGTTTCCAAAAGGTCCAGTACTGGCCTGGCATTATTTTTAGTTGCTCAGACTACTGCCATCGATGGTAATATTCCTGCATCTACTCCATCTTTCCATGGCAAATAATACCCTTTGTAATCTATTGCTTCACCTCCTTTTGAAACATCTTTTAAAGAACTCTTGTAACACCTAATTTTTTTTTTAATACAGATGGCTCTCCATTGCAATTCCACTCCACTGTCCACCTTTTTTCACCAAACTCTGTTCTGAAATCCTTATCTTCAATTCTGCAGCAGTTTGAGGCTTGCATATTTGCAGCATAAGTCAACATTCCAAACTTCACCTTATCACTTGGTGATTATCTCCATCAATATATTCAATAATTGTTTCTATGGTTTCTTGCATTTATGCCTCACCCTGCCTAGTCCTTTTATACTAGATTTCTTTCTCATCAACTACTCTTAAGGTGACACACCTACCCCAACCATTTGCAAGTTTATGGGCAAGCAAAGTGGTTGTGCATTTGGTATCAACAAAATCTGCTATATTACCTTCCACCAAAACTTCTATTACTGGTAGATGTTGGTACTGTGCTATTATTCTTATGAAGGGGTAACTTCCAGTGTTTTTCTGAGGGCAAGTCTTTGTGTTTTGCCAATTGTTCTTTACACCTATAACACAACATTTGATCTAGGTTGCTCCCTGCAACCTCTAATTAAGTGTGATCACCAACATCTAAAGCTCTAATAACTGGATGTTCCCATTTACCGCTTGTTTTCTTTTTGTTCCCACTTCACTTTGCTTAGCTGCTACAACTGTTCTAAGTTCCTCTGATCTTTTATTTGACAGTACGCTTGCAGTTACTCACTTTCTTCTTGATGCCAGGTATTTGTTGCCATACCGCAGATATGTCATCTGGGGAAACAGTTACAAAAGCTAGTTTTGCTGTTTGATGTAGACCTCTCCCTGTCAACCTGGCCAATCTTTTGATGTTATAGACATCCACTGATTTTCCAGCTCACCTCACTCTTTTAAGTTTCTCATCCTTTTGGAACCTCTTTTGAGAATTAATTCTCTTAAGAAAAGTGGATCTGGTAGCTTAGTGACCAAATTCACCTTTTTTAGCCAGGCAAATACATCTCACTCACCATTAAATGATTTTATGCATGCTCAGTTTTACTTTCCCTTCAATTAAGCTGAAATAGCTTGTAGTTTAAATAAAGCGAACAAGAATGAAGAACTATATGTACTCACCAATTCTTGCTACAGAAGTGAGTAAAAGGCAAAATCATATCTGGTATGTAAGGTTTGACTCCTTTTACCCATTTCCTAATCACTTAAAATGTTGCTTTTCTCTTTCTCTTTTTATGCCACAACTACTGGTGTTGCTTCTATTTTTTAACTGGCAATCAAAGCTTGCTCCTGCCTAGGATTCCAAAACCAGTGTACCACCACCCAAAACAAAAGTTAGAAAAAAACTCATTGAATCTATCTATACATTTATTACCTGAAATGCTCTGGTCTTTGTCTATAAAAACTCTCTCCTCATTTACTGTTTCTCTGAAGGTATTAAGATAAATGACACTTCTTCCTCTATTCATTTATTGAAACCACACCTGTTTTATCCCTTTGAGTCTTGACTTCAATCCTTGGTTGTGGAGGTATAGAAATACACAATCTCAATGGAGGAGCAGGGACATAATATAGGTTAGATTAGCAGAAAGGAGTTATTACTATAAATAACTACAAAGAATGTTAAGAAAATAAGATATGTTAGATAAGAAATAAGAGCAATATGCTTTCTCCCTATGGATAAAATATTCTGTTCAAAGTTTCTGGATGTGATATACAATAAAATGTGGTGTGCTTAAAAACAATCAAGATAAGGATTAAGGAGATTATTGAAAATACAATTTTTTGATGTTAACTTTCTACTTGTTACACTTTTATTAACCTAATCTTTTAAAAAGTGGTGTACCGTTAATGCATTTAATGTGTCCATTATAAACTGGTAAATACTGCCATATCAAACTGGTGGCATATTAAAAGCTGATAACCTTATTTTTGAGTATTACCTGTTAATGTTTGCCACTTTAGTATTTCTAAACTAACCAGTTTCTATTTTTGAAAGGTATATTTTTTCATGAAAACAATTTGTGTTTGTTGCATAAAGTCATCTGTTCTAGATTTTTTATTGTAGATTATACATTTAGCAGTCAGAAATGGTGATTCTGACAAAATGACTATGGAAACAGCTAATTACTGGCTCTTGGTAAGTTTTCCTAAAACTTATGGAATAATTTTACAATTTTTCTGCAAAATTTCCTAACAAAAATGAAGAGTAACTTCTACAAACATTCGCTAATTTTGGTAATTTGTGAATTTATTAAATAAGTAAATCATACTCATTGGAAGAGATTTGCTTTTTGTGGCCTGTTAACAATTCCTATGAAATAGTCTATCTGCTTTTAGAAATGCTAATTTATTTGTGTCATTTAATTTTCTGTTAAATCATAATTATTGCAACCTTTTGTCTCATTGCTGATTTCTTTGCCTCTATGTATTTTTCTGTACTGTGATTGGCAGGCGGCTTTTTATTATAAAGATTACTACATTAATTTTATACTTACAAGAGGAGTGACAATATATAAGATGGAATATGTGAAAGTTGGATGTTTAAATTTTTTTATTGATGTTTCACTCATAGCTATTACAAATACTGACACATACCATACAAAATAGCAATGTTGTAGCATTGAAAACAAAAAAAACCCTAATAACTATAAATAAGTATATTAAAGTATTTACAAAATTCTATTTAAAAAAAGAAATTAATTAAAAACAATAAAATCTGGTCATCTTACATAAAATATCTCCTTACAATTTCCATGTTATTTGATCTACCAAAAATATATAAAATGACTATTTTAATGTAACTTTGAATTCTCTGGAATTGGCTGCACTACTTATAAAATTGCTAGAGCTAGCATAAATTCTAACTTTACTACTTGGTACAATGAGTTCATTAAATATAGAGATTTATGGTGATTTACTAAATAAAGTAAAATAAAAGAATATATAGACATGAAAAACAAGGGTAATTTAGATATTAAATCTTTATATACTAATATTTGGTTAGGTAATTGAATGACAGTGAAAAAAATATAAAATTTCTATATCATATCAATAAAATTTCTAAAAATATAAAATTCATTTATGCCATACTGATATTTCCATTACTGAATGTCTTAATTTATTACAACCTATAAAAATTTTTTTTACAATTATTACAAACAAAAACTTTACTCCCCTTTGGGATCAAACTCATTTCAATAATAGTCAGGGAGCTGAGGGACTAAAATCGGACAATGCAGGGGACAAGTTTTCACCTATACCACATGATTGGGAAGTATCTCTAGGTTTTGAAACCACCTGTTGGACTTCCTCTATGGATTGATTTACGTGTATTATGTGTTGTAATTGAAGTAATGTCCCCCACATTCTCCAATTTTTGTCCTTCAACTTCATGCAAAAATATGGCTAAAAAAATTTACCAAAAATCTGGTCAGTAAATTATCAAGTGGTGAGCCAAACTTTCATTTGACTTTGTTTATTAGTTTTACATCATCTAGATGGGCTTAACACAGCAAAAGATCCATCAAAATTGAATGTAAAGACACTCAAAAATGTAATTTTAGTAGCACAAAGAGTTCTTTCAAACATCACTGGTCAGTATATTCTGGTCTGCAATATACACGTAAATAGAGGAAGTCCAACAGGTGGTTTCAAAACCTAGAGATACTTCCCAATCATGTTGGTGTAGGTGAAAATTTGTCCCCCTGCATTATCTGATTTTGGTCCCTCAGCTCTCTGACTATAAATCCTTCCCAAAATCTGTTATAGATCTCTTAATCATTTACCCTCAATATATTAATATAAAAATATTTGTAAAAAAGCTCAACCACATTCTCTTTTTCTTTGAAAGAGAAAATAATTATTCACTAACATTTTAATATATATATATATATATATATATATATATATATATATATATATATATATATAAAATGTTAGTGAATAATTATTCACTAACATTTTTTTATATATGTTAGTGAATAATTATTTTCTCCTGAAAAACTTATTTCGGTTGAGCTCTCTGGGGAGGAAGTGTGGGTTTGTAAACAGTGACTATTATGGCTAATAATGCAAGACTCTTCAGTAAATCGCATCGGGTTCTCTCAGTGTGTGTTTATCTAAAAATAAATACGCTTAAATTCACCTTCATCCCTGCCATGCACCAATGGCTTAGTGGTAGAATCCCTGACTGACGCCAATTCAGTCGGGTTTCGATCCTAGCTAGAGGCAACTGGACGTCTAGTCGCACTGATGAGCTGATACACCGAAACCGTCTGTCTGTGGATGACAATATATATATATATATATATATATATATATATATATATTTGGATAAATCAAATGAACAGATATAAGCAAACGTATACATGTGTGTTGGTGTGCATAGTCAGGCAAGCAAATAATCATCAAATTTATTCATGAGGTGTAAACATAACAGTGCTTGATATGGTTAGACAGAGCAAAGATATATTAATAAATATACATGTAAAATACCTACGTTTAGGTGTGCGACTTAAGTTTCACTGGTTTTTCAACTCATCAGGCAGAAAGTATATCTTATGTTTTTATAAATACACAAATATCACATGGGAAGAACACTGTTTCATAGATGAAAAGTAAAATAGAACGAAAGATGCAGGAAATGAATTGTAGGTAGTATTCATTTTTAAAAAAATAAATAAATAGAAATTTAAAATTAATACTGGAGACGCTGGATGCTTGCTGGATTAAAGCTCAAGTTAGTCGAATATGAAAAAAGACATTATATGGAAGCCTTAATAATAAAAAAGAAAAAGCCAACACTTAATAGTATTAACTACGAACAATGTGCAGTGTTTGGAAAATAAAACATCTCTATAACACTAAAAAGATACACACAACACGCACACCCAATTATATTGAAAAAATTGATAATGGCTAAAAGTATAGCCAAAAGTGCTCGGAATTATAGAACATTTGGACATAGTTTATTTGGATATTTCATATCAGTCATTTATCATGTCACAATGCCATTTAAGAAAGTGTAGTGCAAATGCACAGCATTTTTATTTTTTTTATTAATGGTTTAATTTTATGGGCTATTAATTTGGTAATGGGTGTGAATAGAAAAATGCTGTTAATCTTTTTCACATATCTTGAGCTTTTTTTTATATTCTGTAACCTAAGATGAAAAGAATTGAGCTTTAGAGTCAATGGCTTCCAGTCAGTGTTACATAAAACATCCCTGATTCAAAAATTGTTTTTGAATTTAAGATGCTGTATAATGATCATTTTTCTTGTGAACTTCTAATACTTTTGAAAATAGGTGTTTGATTTAAAACATCACTTAATTATAAATAAATCAAGTTATATAACATCAATGGAAATGGATTAAGTAATATAGAATAATATACTTGATCATTTTTTTTTGTCCTAAACTAAAAATGACTAAGATCCATACACCATAAGTTACCAATATCAAAGGTGTATTGGTTAAACCCTTTCAGAATTTTCAAAACCTATCTTCCTTCAAGTCAGTCATTCATCCTAGTCCTTTGGGAATTTCCCTGCACACACACTCTTACATCAACAGTATATGGTTTCTGAAGGTTCTGTACCATTGTCACATTGACTACCAGCAGTGGATAGAAAAAAATGGAGCACTTGGGGACCCCATTTGTAAATCCAAGGATAGAGTTCTTCAGACCATCCACTGGGAAACAGGACTTTATCTTGACAGTCAATAGAGCTGATGGGAAAGGCGGGACTTCAATTAATGGACCATGAAGAAATCAATTTTTCTCTGAAGAGGTGATTGAAGCCATAGAAAAGTTAGCTGATCAGAAATATAAGGATAACCTTCTCCATCGTCAATTATCTACAATCCCCTCAGCACATAAAGCAAGTTGAAAAATTCAAAGCTCTCTGTGACTCGCTTGCTTTCAATTTATGTGACAACTTTCCATGGGTAAGAATTAATCATACTTTACATGGAACTCTTCACCACTCTGTAGAACTGATTGGTTTGAATGATGATTAGTCTTGGGAACCTGGAGGCAAACAACAAGGACATTAGAAATTTCTTGCAATTTTTATCTGGAAAATCTCTCCTGTTGTTCAGCTCACCGATGTCATGTGAAGACTCCTTGAATGTTCTGACTCTGTCTTAACCAATCTTATAACTCGGTGTCAGCCAAAAAATTACTGTACAGAATGTGGTGCTACAGATCATACTATACGCTCACATTCTTGGCTGTTCAATTTGCTAAAGAAGTGGTATGCCAGCCTTGAAGATATATTTCTTGATTAATAACAGTATATACACCAAATTGTCATTTTGAAACTCATGAGACTTTAGCATGACAAAGACTTTTATAAGTGCTTTTAGATATGTTTTGCTGAAGTTTCTTGAATCTTTTGTTTTGAAAGTTTGTCATTTTTGATGTTATATAACCCTAATCTTCAACTTTTTATACAATTGAAACTTTTATCATGCCATTAAATTGGCTTTAAGCATACGCATCCAACAAGCCCCCAACTAATCACTAATCACAATGCCCGAATAAGGAAATTTCAATCCAAACCCCCAATTTTTGAGAAATTTCACCTTTTATGAACTCAGTTTGGCTATACACTTCCAAAAGGACCTTAATCACTTATCAGAAACAGATTGGGCCAAATTATACATCATCATACTTCTCTTTACAAAGTTAGCCCATCTGGGCCCACTGTGTGATGGGTGATTTCAACTGTTGGATGGATGATGAGCAACTGAACAGAAATGATGAACAATTGGAAATTTTGGTGGGCGATATAGAATTTTGAATATTTAAAAGGTATTTCAATATATGTTAAACCCCCCCCCCCACAAAAAATATGCAAGAGAGAAATATCCTCACAAACAACTAATATTATGGTATTTTCTATAGTTTTGAGAAGGGTCATTAACATTCATAGTTCTTCAGTATTAAGCATAAAAAAAATTGCTGAATTTCTATTAGTTGCTACATTCTTTTTATAATTATGAACAAAGATTGTTTAATTTTTTTTTTTTTTTTTTTGCAATGCTAACCCTGAAACTAACTTGTATATAGTTTTTAATGGTCAAGTTTAATTTCATTTGTTCTTTAATATGATAGTAGCAGCCGCATAAGTCAGTGTTGCTACATCCCTTTGGTATTTTTTACTGCATCATAAAGTCGATTTATGAATCAGTAACAAACTTTACCAAACAATTTTGGTATGCTTTTGAATCAGGTGGGTGGTGGAAAATCTTTCCATATAAAAAAAGGTTGTGTTTTTCCAGTGCTACATATGGTTTGGAATTTAGAGTTGTGCTCCTTCTAAACTGGCTTATAATTTGTGTAAACATTTCTTTTATGAAATAAGTTTTAAACTGTTATTTATTCAAGGCAGGATTGTGGAGTAGTATTAAATAAAGAAATTTCTTTACTGAATTTTGGGCAAGATTCTTCCTAGCATCTTGTTTAGTTCATCATTTTTCTAGTGGTAAGTGGGTGCTCCTCATTTCACTCAATTCTATTAGTTAATAGCTTATGAGTTCAAACTCTGTCAATTCCAGATGCTAATTTTATTTATTTTAATTAAATGATTTTCACATCAACTTAATTTCTTTTCCATCTAGCCCTTGCTTGTAACTCTGTTCTTTCTATTTTTGCTTATTTATTGAAAGCTGCAGTTTGTATATGCTATGCACAAGACTGATTTGAATAATCAGTTTAACCATATTAGTTGGGTGGAATGATTAGTATAATATTCAAGTTTTGTATAAAATCAGAGCTATTTTTAGACACTTGATTAGCATGGCAGAAATAAAGATTCAAGACAAAATTCACATTATTGTATGCAGTACTAATCAGAATTATTGTAATGATATTTTCAGTTCAGAATTTTCTCTAAAATGTTTCTTTTTAAACTAATAAGAACTATTTTGCTTCTATTTAAGGAAAAAGACTTGGTACAAAAACTTTTCAATGTTCTGGCACCACGTTATAGTAACTATACAACCTCGTTTACTCAGATGCATGTACTGCCATGTGCTTATCCTGGACCTGGAGGTACCCTTGGAATTCTTGAGCTGAAAGGTTTGTTTTGTTTTTACTTACTTTTTCTCTCCCCTCCTCCTCCAAAAATTTTCAGAGCTATGTATGTTTTCAATATTGTGAATAAAATCATAATTTATGACTAAATAATTTTATATTGAGTTTTTTTTATTGTATATCATGCAATGAACTACTTTTATTGAAGTTATCAAGCAATATTGAAGATAATGGTAATTTGTAAATCTTCTAGTGACCTTTGTTTATTTTATTTTTTTTTTGTATAAAGAATCTTAGAATAATTTCATAATCTACAGGAAATTATACTAAGTTTAATAGATCACACATCAATACTTTAGATTTAATAGATCACACATCAATACTTTAGATTTAATAGATCACACATCAATACTTTAGATTTAATAGATCACACATCAATACTTTAGATTTAATAGATCACACATCAATACTTTAGATTTAATAGATCACACATCAATACTTTAGATTTAATAGATCACACATCAATACTTTAGATTTAATAGATCACACATCAATACTTTAGATTTAATAGATCACACATCAATACTTTTAGATTTAATAGATCACACATCAATACTTTTAGATTTAATAGATCACACATCAATACTTTAGATTTAATAGATCACACATCAATACTTTAGATTTAATAGATCACACATCAATACTTTAGATTTAATAGATCACACATCAATACTTTATTTTTAAGTTAAATGTTTTTTACTTGTGACATGAGGGATTAGGAATTTTATATCTTGGAGTAATTTTAAGTTTCAAAATTTAGTCTGAAATTTATATTTTTAAGCAATTATTTTTTTCTATTGCATTTTATGTCATCCTCATATGAAATATTTTTGTAGAATTTTTTTTTTTTTCAAGTTTATGATGAAATTCTAAATTTTCCTAAATGTAATCACAAAATTATTTTAAAATTTTTTTTTTTTTTTTTTTTTATTACCAGAATGAATGCCTAATATACACTGAAGATAATAATCACTGAAAATTTAAATTAATATATTTAAAAAAAAAAAAAAAAATTGTTGCCATTTGAAATATAAAAGCTAAGATTTAGAAATACCTACCTACTTCATTGACCTCACTCAAGATGATAGTCCACAATTCTGCACTGCAGTTAATTGTGATTGTCATCATCTTTTCTGTGGCTGTTAGCATTATCTATGTGTGACAGTATGTGCTTTTCCAGTGCGACATACGGTTTGGAAATCAGAGTTGTACTCAGAGATTGGCTTATAATTTATGCAAACATTTCTTTTATAGAATAAGTTTTAAACTGCTATTTATTTTCTAATATCAGAATCTTTGCTGAAATGTATTCATGCTAATAGTTTTTTTTTCTTTTAGGAAACCCATGGCCATCAGTTCTACCAAAAGAAAGAAACACTAAAAGGTCTCTAATCAATCAGCTGATAGATGTCAGTCGTGAAGAATTTGAATCTCGGCCTATAAGATTATCAGATGCTGAAGACTTGCTTGTAAACAATATGAACAGTTTAGACATTTCTAATTTAAAGTGAAAGACAAAAGGAATAGATTACTACTGTTTTTGAAATAGACACTCTTTTCTTTTAACCAAGAGATACATTAATGGTCTATTTCTTTTTCAATTAAATCTAAATTGTGTAAAAAGAAAAAAAACAAAAAAGTTTATTTTCTAAGTTTAACCATTTTTTATTTATTTTTTAAAAAATAAACTTTCCATTTTGTTTCATAAAAAAAACATACATTGATAATTATGCAAAATATACAATTAATTTGAACAATTATAACACAGCATACTTGATTGTTTTATTTTCTTTCACCTTTTAAATGAAAGGTTACATTATATGAGTTGTATATTTTGTTTCTTGAATCAACAATCAGTAGATACTGAGTGTGTGTCTATACCTGAACTTTTGCTTGACCACAACTATTGATTTCTGCAACAGTGGTTTTGCGCAGTCTCAAATTGGCAGATCATCTGTTGTGCATCTTTGATTTTGTGTTATGAGAGGATTCTTCAACTTCTTGTTTCTTTGAAATTGAATAGCTTTGATTTCGCAATCAATAAAATTCCAGTGCCTCGTTAGCATTGTACAACTTTTGTTTATTATATGGATATGAATAGGTAGTGCATCAAAGAGGCTGAGTCTTGTAGCATTATCTATGTGTGACAGTATAGTAAATGTCTATTTTCTTCATAGTCTGTTTAATGAAATCTCTTACGTCTGATAGGTTAAGTAGATTAGTCCGTGTTTCCCTTAAATAGACAATTTGCCTTTACCTTCATTGATGTACAACTACTTGTAATTAGTCTCAAATGTCCAAGATTTTCCCATTTGTCTGAAAATGCTGACAACTGGCTGAATGCCTAGGATTTGACTCTTCCTATAAATTCCACATAGAACTGGTTCTAATACAAATTTACAAAATTAAAAAAATATATCTTCATTAACTTTAATTTTATCCAAGAAACCATTACTAATGTCAACTCAAAACTAGGTGGTATTGATGGATATATAAATCTTAATTAGTAGAATTGGATAAGTCAAGTTAAACCAAAATTCAATGCTGGTTCTGTTTCCGCTATTCACTTATGGGTTCTAATAAAAAAAAAATATTTGGTCCTTTTTCTCTGTTTTATGGACATTTTCTTCATTATTTGTCTCATCTTCATTAATTTGTTTTAATACTACAAGACTTGCAAAGAGTATTTTCATGCACAAGCAGAAATTTTACTCAGTTACACACATAAAAATGCAATAAAAGAACTAAAAGATTAGCTGACAAATTATACACACACACACACACCTCTATCTATTTATCTACCTACACTTAATATCTTGATGCTACTTGTTTTCCAGCTAGTTGGAAATCCTCTTTTGTAGTTCCTATTTTTGATCTAGTATTGGTTAAGCATCTTACTTTGCATGGCCTTCATTTCTCTAGGTCTGATGTGTTAATGGTTATTACTGAATTTGTCTACCAAGCTTTAGATAAGAATGGCAAAGCTTGAGCTGTGGCTTTACATATCTTGAAGGCATTTAACAGGGTTTGGCATGCAGGCCTTCTTCACAAGCTCAAGGGCTATGGTGTCTCTGGACAAATATTTGACTTAACTCAATTGTTCTTAACAAATTGTGTAATGAAACCTTTCACATTAATATGGGAGTTCCCCAAAGCCTAATCCTTGAACCTATGATGTTTCTTATCTTCATCAACAACCTTCTTAATGTCATCAGTTCTTATCTCATTTGTACTGATGATAACTATTTACTCTTGTCTTAATAGTAAGTCTGATAGGGCCAGCAAAGTAAAACTGGCAGCTGCTATTGAAAATGACCTCTATAATGAAACTGTCCTCTTTTTAATCATAGAGGACCATTTTTGCCTTCTAGCAATATTGCTGATGCTAACCTCCAGGAGAGCAACTCCTTGCACCTCTGTCTCAAATTTTTACGCTCACATGAAGTGGAGTGATTATGGAGTTTCTAGGTAAGTTGATTCACTGTGTTGTAACAGACAATTTTTCTTGCCAGAATCCATCTTGCACATTTATAAACCAATTTGTCTATGCATTGAATATTACTGCGATATCTGGTCTGGTACTCCAGACCAGATATGGCATCTCTAGATTCTAAACAAAATCCAAAGAAGGGTTTTTAATGTTATCAGGCCTGATCTGGCATCTTGACTTCAGTTATTGCTGTGATGTAGCTTCTCCATCTTTTCTATAAATATTTTCTTGGTATATATTCCCATGATATTTCATCCTTGATACCTCGACTGCATTGAATCTAGTGCTACTAGATTGGCAAGTAAGTCTTGCCATTTTACTGTTGAAACTAATTTCTATTCTAATAGTTTCTTTTCTTGCACTGTAGAATTCTTTTACTTCCCTGCCACCTGCAATCTTCAAAAATTCAAATGCAATATCAATACCATCTTCTATCTTCCTGAACCCCATTCTTTTATTGGCTTTTCATTCTCTTTCCCTGCCAGTAACTCTTTGCATCTTAGTGGCATTATCACATTGCTTGGAGTGAAATGATTTAAAATATATAAAAACACGCACACACAAAAGTATTTCATAGTTGTACCTTGGTTCTGAAGAAGCTAAGTGACCACAAAGTCAGTATTACTCAAAGCTAGCAACTTGCACTGAGTGGGGGAAAAAGACAGAGCTTGGAGCCAAGAGGTGTGTGAGTTGAGAAGTGATAGGTTTGTTGATAGATGTGTCCCAGGATTAATGTTTTTATTTAGACTTTTTGATTTGAATGATTGCAGTGAGATGAGTCGGTCAACCATGGCAATCTGACCAAACACTTTGATGGCAAGCATTTGTTTGAGTACCTCCTTTCTCATGTGAGAGTGGGCTGTGCTATTCTGAAAAGGCTGCCCAGTCGCCTTGGGATTTGCTGTACTTTCCTGTTGCCATTGATTCAGGAACAGAACAACCACTGACTCCTGCATCACGTACATGTTTGTGACTACAACTGCCAGTGATCATCTCCACAAATTGCTTTGCCAGATTGATGAATTTATTAAACAGACCTGTTCAAATTGAATTCACGTCTTTCTTTCACTGATTATCATCTTTTGCGTGATGTGTTCCTATTCTGTAGACATCCTTTCCTTGTATGAATTCAGGAAATTCTACTTTGTGCCAAATTATCTCATATTCCGACTTAAAATATAAATTTAATTTATGTCTGAGACCTTGGCCGTAACATAAATTTCGGTGCTCATGTCAAGAATCTAACAGTTAGGGAACACACCCACAGAAATTGGTGAGCAAAGAGACATGTCAGCGGTGGAAGAACTCTTGAAAAATCCATTCTTAAAAAAGTTGTTTAGGTTAAAAAAAGATGATACATTGTTACTGGGGCAGAATCTCCAGTTAGATGTTCAAAGGTCCAAAGTGATAGAACACATGGACAACGATATATTCAAAAGACTTAGTATACTCAAGTGTTAACACCAACGCAACTAGAATTAGAAAAGGCTAGAATAGCTGCTCGGGCTATGGTGATAAGGTGTGAATTGGAGTTGAATGAAGAGAATAACAGTGAGATCCAGAGTGTTCAACCAAGCAAAACAAGTACAGCTCTTACCAAAGTTTAGGGAAAAAGAGGTGGATGATTACTTCCAGCATTTTGAGAAAATGGCAACACACTTGGAGTAGCCAAAGAACGCATAGCCAATGTTGTTGCAGACAGTGCTAAGTGGGAGAGCACAGAATATGAGATGGTAAAGTCAGCAATGCTCAAATTGTATGAGTTGGTACCAGAGGCATACATACAGAAATTTGGAAACTAGAACCACAAACATATGTAGAATTTGTGAGACAAAAAGAAACATACTTTGATAGGTGGCGCTTAACAAGAGAAGTTGGAAATGATTATGAGTGGTTGAAGCAGTTGATCTTAATGGAAGAATTTAAGAGTGGCCTAAGTGAAGAATTGAAATGCTACATGGAAGAAGAGTAGAAAGCGCACATGAATTAGCCATATTAGCAGACCCACCCTAACCCACAGGAAGGGTAAGATCAGACCAAGTTACTCGGGTGTGTCCAGAGGGCAGAATACCAACTGAGGGATGAATGATAATACACCAGGTAGGAATGCACAGCAGAAAGCCAACCTTCAGTTAAACGGGTGGGAACGTGTTACTACTGTGGGAAGATGGGACATATTTCGATGAATTGTAGAAGTCAACAAAATAGCAGAATGAAGACCTCAGATCAGGGCAAATGGAATACCAACTGGATACCAGCCATTTATATACAAGGGTCAGTTATCACATGTGAAAAATGATAACAGTAAATCAGGCATCAGAATGTTAAGGAATACAGGAGTGTCGCCTTATTTCTTATTGCAGAGTAGCCTACCAAAGGGTGGGAATTCAGTGACCAGCAGCCGAGTCAATATAAAAAATGTCAGACGTGAATCTATGAATATACTTATTCTTTGAGTGAATATTGAGTCAAAAGTGATATTATGAACTATAGATGTAGGAATAGTGAATGAATAACCTATGGAAGGCGTAGAAATGTTGAGAGGAAACAAGTTAGTGGAAGGAAAGGTAGACATAGCATACCCGCTCAGGCAGAAGGTGCCAAAAAGTGAATTTTGGCAAGAGAGGGTAGCAATAGTACAGCAGGAGCAGTAACATGCATGAGAGAGGAGGAAAAGGAGAACAAGCTGAATGCAGGGAAGGAATTGGAAAAGAAGATCCCATTAAATGATCAAATGGCAAGGGGAGATCTCATAGAAAAGCAGGAAACCAATCCTGAGCTATGAAGATATTTTGAGCTAGTGAACAGTGAATCCAAGCAGGATGAGAATTCAAGGAATACTATATCCATAATGGACTACTGATGAAAAAAACAATCCCTAACATGGAAGACAGGGCAACTAAAGAACAGACAATGTTGCCTAAGGCTTTTAGAACCTTGATTTTAAAGACAGCTCATGAGATACTGCTAGCAAGTCATCTGGGAGTGAATAAATATCGGAAAGGAATCACATCGATACGCATGAGCGCATATCACCCACAATCCCAGGGTGTGCTAGAACAATTCCACTTGATGTTAAAAAGTATAAGGGCTTACTGCATGGAAAACCACAGAGAAATGGATGAAGGTTTCCCATTTGTTATGTTTGCAGAGAGAGAAGCCAGACAAGAATCATTAGGATTTACCCATTTTGAATTGGTGTATGGACATGCTGTGAGAGGTCCACTGAAATTAATGAAAGAAAGATGCTTACAAGGCAATCCAGATCAAATGAACTTGTTGGATTATGTGACACACTTTAGAAACCAAATATCAGAAGTAAGCAAGTTAGCTAGAAAGCATCTTGAACTTGCCCAAGATGGTAAAGCATTATGCAGTAGCAAGAGAATTTGAAATGAGAGATGAAGCTCTAGTATGAACGCCCACACTCTCAAAGCTAAATTTCAAGGGCCATATAAAAAAGTACGAAAAGTCAGTGACCTGAACTATATCCTTAGCGCACCAGATCAGCAAAAGAAGACAGTGTTGTCATAAATATGTTGAAGCCATATTTTAGAATATGTGAGGAATTGACTGCTAATCTGCCTGTGAATCAAAAGGTAGCCTGTGGGTTGAAGCCCATCACTTAAGCTGTGAAATTTGGAAATCTTAGCTGATCTGGAAAACAAACTAGACCACCTACCCTCAGCAGAAAGGGAGGAGCTGGTTAACATAATTACAAACTTTAAAGTCTTATTTTCTGATGTACCAAATAAGACAACAGCAGCACATGACATGGATGTAGGGGAGGCAAGACATGTACAACAGCACCCTTACTGAATGAACCCACAGAGAGCAAACAAGAAATACAGTATATGCTAGAAAATGGTATCATTGAACCCAGTTGAAGTGAATGGGCATCTCCATGTGTACTTGTGAATAAGGCAGATGGATCTGCCCATTTTTGTAAAGATTACAGAAAGGTGAATCAATTGCTGAAAACTGATGCATATCCTATCCCACAGATTGACAATTGCATTGATAGGATTGGTAAGGCAAAATATATCACAAAATGCAATTTACTGAGGGGGGAATTGGGTTGTGCTCTTGTCCAAAAGAGCCAAACAGGTATTGGCCTTCGTAACTCTGCTAGGTAGCTTTCAGTACTGTGTTATACCCTTTGGTATGAAAAGCTCTCAAGCCACTTTTGCATGAATGATGGACCAGTGTTTGTGTGATGTTGAAGGGGATGATGATATAGTGGTGTATTGTGACTCATGGCAGGAAGTATTTGGTAGGCTTATGCCAATTTAACCTCATCAAAAGCAAATTTAGACAAGCTACAGTGAACTACTTGGAGCATGTGATTAGATATTGGAAGATAGTGCCCCAGTGTGTACAAGTCGAAAGCTTTATGGTTACCCAAACCCAAAAGGTCTGAAGGACATCAGCAGATTTCTGTGCATAGATCAATATTGCAGGAAATTTTGTCCTCGCTTTTCAGAAGTCACTTCACCCTTGAGTAATTTGCTTAAGAAGAAATGTAAATTTGTGAGGTCAGCAGAATGCCAAGCAGCTTATATCAAAATTAGAAGGATGTTGAGCATGGAACCAGTATTACAAGCACCAGACTTTAATAAACTTTTCTCATTAGCTGTAGATTTAGTGATGTTGGAATCGGGGAAGTTTTGTTACAAGAAGACCAGCAATGTCAGTTATTACTTGAAAAAGTTTAATGTTCACCAGAAGGCATACTACAAGGAAAAAGATGCTTTAATAGATAGTCTGAAGCAATTTGAAGTTTACATATGAGAAGCAGCCACTTCAACTAATGTTTATATGGTTCATAATCCTCTAGTATTTATACATAGTATAAAAAATAAGAATTGAAGACTCCTAGTATGGAGTTTGCACTTACAAAAATTCAGCTTGGAAATCAAACATATTTTGGGTAAAAGCAATCCCACAGCAGATGCATTGTCTAGGGCATGAGTGTTATTATATTTTGAAGAATTCGATAAACCTCTGAGTTAAAAAATGTTTTTCTTTTTGGGAGAGAAAGACTAATCTATTTATCTATCTGTTATCTCATAGTTAAGAACATTTGTTTTGTTTTTTTTTTTTCTCCCTTCCTTCCTTTTCCTTTCATTCTATCTACTTCATGTATGCATGTGAGTGAATGATGGCAGTTAGTTGATGTACTTTCCTATACCACAGCATCAGCAGTGATGGAAGATTGGTTTTTGATATACATGTCAACCCCATGACCACAAATAGATAGGAAGTGCCAATATCAAAGATTCAACAGTTGGAAGAAAGTTGCTGAATGAATTGGATACCAACTCCTGCAATTATCTGTCCAGAGGAGCAGAAAGGTCAGTAACTGAATGAAACAATAGATTTAACCAGTTTTACATCTATGAATTATGGATATATTCTCAGCATTTGAAAAGATTTCAAACATTAAATTCAGTGTTTATGTAAGCATTTTGCTTAACAATTAATATCTGAAATCCGGTGAGAAGAAGATTGAAATTACCTATAAATTCAGACATTCTTTTTCTTTGAACTTGTTCAAGTCTTTTTATGTGAAAATATTGACATATTGAATTTTGAAGCGCAGATAAATACTATTCAAATTCTATTGATCTAAAAACATAATATTGAAACTTGTGTGTTAAATGCCACATTCACCATGAATCCAGGAAATCCTACCCTGTATCAAATTATCTCATATTCTGACCTAAAATATATATATATAATTTATGTTTGAGACCTTGGCTCTGACATTATCTAGTGGCATGCAGAACTGTTTCAACTGGAGACTTCCAGGCTGCAGTAGATGACCAGTATTTCTATGTGTCACACCCATGCTCTGATGCACTCCATGGCACTTGTTTATACTGCCTTCATGGTTGTTAGATCTGTAGGTGATCTCATCCACTCACTCTGCTGGGAATGAAACTTCAAATGTTGACAGATCCAAAATTATCAAGAGTTTTGAACCCATCAATGTCTGGTTTGCCTGCTAGTCAAAGTGGTTTACCAAGGTGTGCCTGTTGTTGCATGCAAATAGCTTGGGTGGGAACAAAGATAGACAAACTACTACCAAAGGAATATGAATTCCTCACTCAGAGGTGTGACCCCTTACTCAAATATTTTTTTTTTTAACACTGGACATTGGAGCAAATGGATCATTGTCAAATATATCAATTACTACTATTATAATAAAATACCATACATCCAATGAATATTTATCTGTTGTTTGTTTAATTTGCACTATTTTGGTTAATAAAAAATTGTTATCCTTTATTTCATATTTAACAATATAAGTTTATTTTAAGTTACTTTGTGAAAGTATATAGGAAATACATTTATTACAGCACTTAACTATATACAATGTCTCTAGTGAAGGTGATTAGCCATCTGTGACCATGAGTGGATTTGTTTTGAGGTATAACTTTAACTCTCACACTATTCATTGCCCTTGTTCTTGAAAATGCTATGTAAAGTTGGCCATGTGTGAAGCATGGCTGTGGCAAATGTATGCCAAATTTATTGAATGCTATGCTTTATTGATTGTTATAGAATAGTACAGATGAACCAGGAACTGGGTTCAATGCAATACAGATGGAACCAGTACTCTTGTCTGAGAGTGAGATGCTTCGATGCTATGCCTGTGAAGCTGATGTACTTCCAAGTGAGTGCCATTGTATAGACCTTGTGTTATAGAGGGGTTTCTAAAAAGCATAATTACTCCAACTTTTAAGTTCAGGTGATGGGGAGGCATTTCAGAAGGTGTAAGAGAGTTTATAAACTCCATGGAATAATTCTGGGCTTTGTCATTATCAGAAGTTACAGAGTTGGTGCTTAGATATGTAGAATTTCTTAATTTACTGCTAAGCAGACTGAATTTTTAGGGGATAAAATATATATATATGGCTTTACACACTCCACTATTTTTGGAGCTGCTCCTTCCCGCTCACTGTTTTCAAAAAGAAGCTGCTCCAGCTCCAACTCCATTAAAAAAAAGATCGGCTCTTTTTCGGTGCTCCATAGTTAAAATGTACCTTCTTTCAAAAACCTTGGACATTTATCAGTTTTAAAAATCTTCCAAAATAATATATATATATATATATATATATATATTATTTATGATACATTATTTGAGTAAAATTAGCAAATTTAAAGTTAAATTAATCTGAAATTTGAAACCAACATTACTTACTTTATCATAATAAAGTAATCATTTCAACTGATTAATACGTGAAAAAAACTAATGCTAAATATTATGTTACTGCTGACCTACAAAAAAAAAAAAAAAAAGCTATTTAACCAAAATTTTGATCTTGCTAGAAAGGATTAAAAAATTTAAAAAAAATAATTAAAACTACTTTGGTTTTCCCGTTTAATAAACAAACATTTTTGCAATAAAACTTTGTTTTTATTAAGTTTGGAGCCTTTTTCATCATGCTATGAATTTTGGCGAATTAGTGAACATGCCTATTTTTATCTAGTGAATGTAACTAAAATGAAGTATTAAATTAGGGTTATTAAATTTTCTTATTAAAATCAATGCTAAGAACAAATAAAACATACTTTTTCAGAAAGTCTTGGTTTTATTGTAAATCACAAAATATCAGTTGTTTTCAATTAATTCCCAACTGCATTCCCCAAAATTCATTTTCTTGAAAATATTTTATGGCATTGAAAGTAACCTTTACTGTAGTAAAGTTTGTTATACAAATAGGCATTTAAAAGATTTTGATAGATGCATTGTAAAACTTTACTTAACTTAAAGTTTTGGGGTGAAAAGTTATTCTCATCAGTGTTCCAGTTGTCAAGGGAAACTTGTGAAGATACTACACTTTGAACAACAGAGAAACACAAATCTTCTATTGTCAAGAGAGTTATGGCGATATGTATGTTCTCTGGGGTATAGAACAATAATGGGCAGGAAAATTTGGTAACTATGAAATAAAAGCTGATTAAAAATTGATTTTAGGGCAGTTCTGGAGTGAGGATTTGGGGGCTAATCCTTCCTCCTATATTTTTAAATAACTGAAAATCGTGGAGTCCAGAAAAAAAACCCTACAATAATAACAGAGCCATACTTGCAGAAAGGAGGTTTAGGGGGGCTAATATATATATATTAAAAAGTAAACTAGAATTTTATTTCAGGACAAAAAGTATCATTTCAGACGAGAAATAGGCAAGAAAATCCAACGGAAGCTATTACCCGTAAAAATTTCACTTATTTTTTAATAACTTTCTTTAAATAATAATGGCAAAAATGTGTACAAAAGTAAATTGTCAGTAAATTAAAAAGAAAACATTGGTTTATTTATTCATTCTGCAATGAAAATTTGTCATACAAACAAAAAAAGTTCAAACCTTTCTTCCCCAACACCAATACCTACAGACAGCTTTTATACTCTCTCTCACTGACACTCACACACACATCTAATACAAAAATGACAGCAAAGACTTTCTACATAGTTACTCACTCTTTTGAAGACATTTTTTTCAGACTGTCTCCTGCAACTTAAAAGAAATGTCAGAAACGGTAACACGTAAGTGTCAAAGTCACTTGCCTCTTTACAACCCCCCCGCCCGGTAAAAGTTGAAATAGTTACACATGAAAATGGAAACTAACACACATTCTCATTCACTCACTCTCTCTCATACATTTACCACAGATATAATAATAAAAAAATCTGAGTTTAGCTCAGATTTTCCTTTCTTTTCTTTTTTTCATTTTTGAATACAAACTAATGTTTAAAAAAAATTTGAATAATTTTGGAGTGAGGAGCACAACCCCTGCCTCTTTAGACCAAAGACATAAAAATATGTGTATTACTTAAAAAGTAATGCATGATTAGCAATGAAATTTTTACCAAATAAAGATTAGGGTGTAATGCATAAATATTATACAAAGATACAAAAATTTACATAATAGTTTTTTTTTTTTTTTTTTTAAATAAAGATTAAATGGAACAAAGGAAATGAGCTACTGGACAAAAGTTAAGGAACGATCTTGTTAATACTTGATTGTGAACAAAATATCAACAAAATTTAATATTTGGTAAACATCCCCTTATTTTCAATGACTACTCTGCATTGTCGACCACATGATCTAATCTTGCAAAAATCAGCAGCAATTCCCTCCCATTCATCTTTCAATAACTCCCATAGGTGATCCTGGTTTTTCGGGTTTCTTTTCTGAGCCCTTTCTCCAATTATCTTCCAAACATTTTCTATTGGATTCAGGTCAGGGCTCTGGGCTGGCCACTTCATTAGGGCGATTCCTTCTTAAAGCCATAACCTTCTGAGCCTTGTGGCAAGGTGCATTGTCCTGCATGAAAATAGGAGATTCATAAAGATTATGTTGTAATTTTGGTACCATATGCTGCTGAAGAAGCCTTTTGTAAATCTCAGCATTGATATTGCCATGTACGTGGATGATAGGGCCAACTCCTGCAGATGAAATCATTCCCCACACCATCACACTGCCACTACCAAACTTAACGGTTTTCTTGACACATTGAGAAGACAGTCTTTCACCTGTTCTACGGTGTACATAAGTTTTGCCCTCAGAACCAAATATAGTAAACTTGGACTTGTCGCTGAAATGAACTGTATCCCATTGGCATCAGTCCAAACAACATGTTCTCTCTATATACTCCAAAAGCGTGCCCTTTGGTTTCACTTTGAAATGAGAGGTTAAGAAGATGGAATACGGGTCATGCAATCCTGCATTTTTTAACCTGCAGGCAACCGTTTTCCTTGAGGTATTATTATCTGTTTCTTCATTAAATTTACAGGCAATTGATGTAGCAGTTTCAAAACAGTTTTTTGTAGATATTCTAACAATTCTTCAATTTTCTCTTTGCAATGTTTTTGGAGGTCTGCCGGTTTTTGGTTTTGCATCTAACGTTTTATTGGTTTTATACCTGCTAATTACACAATGAATGACACTTTTAGACCTATGAAATTTCTAAAATTGACTTTTTTTCTTGAGTTTTTTTCTTCAAAAGAGAGTGTTTTGCGTGTAGAATTTGCCATATGGCTTAAAAATAAAGTCCTAATGATAAACTTTTACTTATTGTTGAAAAGCTCCATTGAGTTTTTTAACAATGTAAATTAAAAGTTTATGCAAATTATTAACATTGTTCCTTAACTT